TCTGTCATAGCATGAAACTAGCTTAAATTTAGAAAAGCAGCGTTCCTCTAGAGTACTTCTAAATAAAACTGGTGAGATCATAAAGACGGACTCATGATTTGTCATCAATTTATGACCTAGTCCCACATGATGCAGGAATACACACATATACACATAGGTAGCTAGTGCAAGTGCCAGCTGGTCATTCTGCAGCAGGGTTTTCAAATGTTTGTTGCCCACAGACCCAGATGGTCAGTCCACCCCCTCTGGCAAGACGAACCTATGCTTTACCAAGTGAGACATAAACTTAAATTGATCCAGCAGTTAGGCTCATCAACTGTTAGTGTTTTTTCACTGCAGTTTTGCAGGTAACCAACCAGCAGAGACCTTTAATGGCTGCTAATTTCAGAGAAAAAAGGGAATGAACAGTGTCTGGAGGGTGATGAAACAGCCTCCTGCCGTATCTTACTGAGTAAAATTAACTTGAGCTATATCCTCTTTGTCAGAATCAGGCTCCTAATCTCCGACTTTAAAGGCTAAGATCAATATCACTGTGTCAAATAAGTCGAAAACAATGTGAACATGCAAAAGAACAGATATACAGACTATTATCACCTCAATCTGCAGCTCTCTTTAGCTTTACAGATGTTTTATAATGAGTTTCAGCTCATAGTTCAACTCTCTGGTCTGAAACGTACTGTTTTGACTCACCCTGGTCGCTCTAATAGGGTCATTTGTGGCTGCAGCAGGCAGCAGCCTTCGGTGGAGGAAGCCCTTAAAGCCCACTCCACAGTGCTCAACAGCAAATGGCAGACAGACAAAGTTGAACCACCAGCTGGTAAACATACTGCAGCATTTAACAGCTGAAGAGCCAGATATTTCCCTAAGGAGTTGGCAGAGACCGAAAACCGAGCAAAAAGAAACAAAATATTTCTCTTTCATTCATCTCATGACTCCCAATGAACAGCATTGTCGCTCTGTCTAGCTGCTACAAATAAGCAACAGTTTGCCAACATGTTCCCCATATAAAAGGGATGAGAGATGATATGTTGTGTTTATAACTTGCTTCTGAATCCCGAGAGACCAAAACACCCATTTAATGCAGGATTAAGAACAAGTGGTGCTTTTTTTTCCAAAACATTGTCCTGTCTATGACGTTAAGGAAACTTGTTGTAAACCATGTTGCATAGCATCTCCGATATAGTGATAGCTTTCACACTCTTCTGTCAACTGTGCTATGTTTCAACAGCAGCTTATAATGAATCATTACTCAGCTTGATTTACATTATAGAGAAATAGCTCCTGTTAAACCCAAAGCTTTCAATTGGCCATGTATTCTTGTTAAAATACTTATTGCTGTTATTGCTGTTTTATAAAAGTCTGCTTGCACCCTGCCGTCACTCCCTCGGTCCATTTTATCTATCTAATCTACTGTCTCCTGTTCCACAGAACGATATTGAATGAGATGTAGCTGATTTGTTGGCATGTAGATATTAACTCTGACTGTAAAGACAGTGTTCTTGTCAACTAAAGTAACCCGACGTCTTTAACCTCTAATCTGCCTTTTGTCTCTTATTCCAGCTCACTGGTGCGGTCGCGGCGGTTTCCATCTGGTATGCATCACTGTGACAGCCGGGAGGGTTTCAAACCAGTGTAGGATCAAGTGAACACTTTGCACCAGTGTCATTCAGGCCAAAATGAACAGACCCACACGTTTCCTTCAAGCACCCTTTTGTACATAGAGTAAGTGTTAGAGAGTGAGCCATCCAACAATGACTCTTTTATTATACATTCAAAATGCTGCAACCCATTCGGCGTTTTAAAATATTTTACTGTACAATGCAAAGTTATCCTGTAATAAATACTTCATATAGTGTGTGGTAGTGTTTTCTATTTAAAAGGTATTTCAAAGATTTTACTCTGGGTCATTTACTTGTAAAGAAACATATTTTTATGGAATTGCCTTTTTTATATTTAGTTTTGTGGAATACATTATTATCAATACTTCTATTCATAATAATGAACTATCCCACATTTATTCAACTTATTTAATTCTTCAATAAAATAACATTATGACAATTCATAATGTGTTTAAGTGGCATAATAGGTTTGTATTTAATTATACAGTTATACAGCTTGGCTATCAACAATGGCAAACAACTGGATTGAAAGCTATAGCCTAGGGTTATTAGCTTTTATGCTCATTTCCTGTGCCACAAAGTGTAAATAGTCTATTTAAAATCCACCACTAAAGTTCATCTTGTTAAATTTTTAACAAATAAATGCCACTGTGGAAGAGTTTCATAACGCATCTGAGGTTGCCATAAGAATGTTTACACTTCTAGTTGATTTGACTTGAAATAATAATAGATAATCATTTGTTGTCAATGTATCTATGTTGTTTTATACAAAGCCTTTTGCAAATATTAAATATTCAAATTTGTAAATAATGATTCCATAATTACAACAATGGGGACAGAAGTGGGCTCTCAGTGCTACCGCAGAAATTACATGTTTACAAATGGTTGCAATGATAAGACAAACAATCTGATCTGACTGTGGAGGCTGTGGGTTCCTATTGAGATTGGTAAAATGGGAGGAGAGGGAAGAATGAATATTTCATAATCACAGATCTGCTTATGAGAGCACACGAGAAAGTGATACTGGGGATAAGAGAGATGCAAAAGTGTGAGTCTGCTGTCCTCTGTGTCCCATTCACATAAAATAAAACGTCACACTAGAATATGTAGAACAGAGCATAACTTGTCATCTCATTTTCCCTGTGTGCTTGCATCTCTCGATGCAAATACATGTTCTGTTTATAATAAGATTCAGAGGAACGGGAATATGGACTTAGGAGTGATTTATACACTGATGATGTAAACACCGCGTGACGGTAAAGCTCGGCTGTTGGGCTGTTGGTTTGAGCGTGAATATCTGAGAGAAGGGGAGAAAAGCCTCAGTGCAGTAATGCAGTTATTAATCACAGTGCGAGCTTTGATTCATCTGTCGTGGAGGCAGTTTGGAAGATGGACTCTATTTACTGCTAAAGTTGTTTGAGGGGTTTTGGGAGGCAGCCATCAATCTCTTGGCTATCTTGAAAAGAAGCAGCCAATGCACAGGCATCAGTTTCAATCACTTCCTCAAGACAGCTGGTACGGTAAGCTGCCGCTGCACAATAGTCTTCGCTTCACTCCCTCCCCTCTTCTCTTTCCTCAAGGTGAAGTTTTTCCCTCTCTCTGGGGAAGCATGTTATTAATGTGTTTTATCATAATAATAATAATATTGCCTAAAAATACACACTCCACCCTGCCCTCTTGCTCCCTTGCTGTTTGGCACCCTGCGTTCCTAATTAGCATCGTCAATTAACCCATGTTAATTGCCAACCATGGAAAGGTGGAGGATCCTGGCAAGCCGGCACCGCAGGGAGTTGCTTAGTAAATGAGTGGATTGGAGACGTATGCAGGTAAAGAGGAAGCACCTTTAACCTCAAACTGCAAATAACACCTTTATGCAATATCGCTTGTACACCAAACCTAAACTCAAGTGGGGGTGTGAGTGTTGTTTTCAACTACAAATTGATTTTGTGCAGTTAAACAAAAATCACACTTGTTTTCTAGTTTTAACTGCATCTTTCCACACGTCTACCATCTATTTTCATCAACGTCTGTGGGGCATATTACCTCTGCAGGAGTCTAATGGCAGCACTTAACCATCCATCGCTCCCTCTTTCTTAATAACATCTTTTATTTTGCGTCACTAAAGGAGGGAGCTTGTCTCTCTACAATATAGAGCAACTTAATGACTGTGCTTTGTTTTTCCGCTTTGATCAATCTTGATTTCTTTTGGTGCACGCAAACTAAATAGACAAGAGAAGACGAGCAGCCCGTATTACTTTTAACGGATGTAGACAAATCCTTTTTGTCATATTTACTTTAAATCATCAGTGTAAGAAACAAAACATGGAAACCAAACATAGCTTACATGTTTACTGATGGGGGGGGGTTGCATTTTCGATAAAACCCTCTGTGGCCAGGTTTACTCTCACAGCAATACAGGCCTATTAATGCAGTCAGCAATGTAGCATTGCCACCAGGGGAGCTCCCCAGCCCCCAAGATAGACTGGAATCAATTGGAGTTGTTGGGCATTAGCGGTGGAGAGTGCAGTCAGCACAGTCCAGCATGATGTTCTTGAGAAGTGGGGGGCCAGCAAAGGTCAAGAGTAGCAGCTGATTTCAGATATAAATGCATATTCTCCATAGTAACCTACTAACCTTTCATTACTGCTCTTACTGCCCCAGGCCCCTGAGAGGCATCATCTGACGCTGTGTTTGTGTGTATGCATGTGTCCATCAAACTAAAATGGAGGTAAGCATTCATGTAAGCAATTCCACCTTAGCTCCCTTACCCAAGCAACCTATTCTCCCTCACTTACATACCAACCTCCCAGAGGCAGCTTGACTCACGCTGCCCAGGAAGAAGGTGATTCTTAAAAACGTTACATAAATATGTGAATGTTTTCAACAAAGGGATACCAGCAATCTTTCTTTTCTGTCTGTGACTCATGTTTAATCAAAGAGGAGATTTGTCAGTTGGTGTCACACAAATCTGAGCATACAACCAAACCCTCTCTAAGAAGAGAGAAGTAGTACTAAGGATAAGGAAACTGCATTGGCTATGTGGACACAAATCTGAATGCTGATTGGTACAAAGTTATTTGAGGTATTCTTTGGGCAAAAAGGTTGAAAGAGAAGACAGTGATTTACATTCTGAATACATTTACAGTAACTGCTATTGACAGATAATAAGAAATATGAAAATATGAAATATAATTCTAGTCTCCTTGTACAGGTTTAGAATTTTTTTAATACGTCTAGACACAAAAACATGGAGTTCCATTAAAAGAAATGTGAAGCTACTCCACTTCCCCACTGATGAACCAATAACTGACAAATTTGTATTAATAAGGAAGGTATATTCTCTCTTCTTGCTGCACACCAGACTTTGTATTTCGTCCTTACTCTGAGGAAGGTGAGGTCCCGGCCGTGGTCGATGCTCGTGATCTCGAGGTTGCCCATGACGACTTCACAGTTCTCGTAGTATTTCCTCAGGGTGCGGTACTGCTGCTCCAGGTTCGACAGTGTGCTCAGCTTGTTCGCCGTACCAGTGCACACTAGGAAAAAGAGATGGTGACAAGACAGTATTAATACAGCTTTATTAGATATACTTTAGCTGAGAGCAGTTAGAAAGCAGCCACGCGGATATCATGACACAGTCTGTTCACAGGGTTAACAGTTTCCGCTGATCATAAACACTACAGCGTCGGTCACCTTGATACGATTTCCACATAATTTGAACCAAGAGAAGCAGCCAGTTCATGTTTTACTGTGTAAAAAATGTCAAAACAAAGAAAGTACAGTGTAAGCATTAGTCCATAGACAGTGGCCTGCAGCACCAGCTTAGCTGCCCTGGTCATGTAAGACTGTGAAGCCACTGGACCTCACTGCTACCCTTGGGGCACTCAGGACAGATGAGAGCTCTTTAGCAGTTAGCTGGGCTGCTCACTTGACAAGTGATTATTAGAACAAGTTCCAGCCATCACACACCTTGCTTCCAACCCCCCCAATGATGACACAAACCATCTGCGTAATCGGCTGTAGCTGCCCAGTGTGGTATGGAGCATGGCCGTTTGTAGCAATTACAAAGATGAGGGGCTGCAAGAAGATTGCCGGGGGCTTATCACACGTTTTTGGAGGGAGGGAGGCATCAGTTGGTTGGGGCAGATATGTCTACATCTATAATAAATAAAAAACAATATTTCATTGATCAATTTCTGTGAGAGCATGGGTCATTGCTTGGGTTGTTCCCTCAACATGGATTCCTTCTTCTCCTCGCCATGCTATGTCCTCCCATCACGCGTTTTTTGTCATTTGATCCATTAAGTTATTGTGTTGCATAAAAAAACAATAATAGGCTGTAAGGTGATAATAAAATATGATAAAACAGATGTATGCATTGATATTTCAAATACAACTCTACCAGGACAGAACCCCCCCGGAAGCAATACATTATTTCCAGTCAGGCACTTTGCAGCTTGTGTGTACAACTGATACATTTTATGTAACGTACATCTGGCTTAAAAGAGTACAGCAGTCCTGCGATAAAAGCCTGCGTTCACAAAGGTTATAATGTTCAGTCTTTATTGAAATTGTGTATGGAAGCCTTGATCTATCTGCACAACAAATTTGAAGGCTGTAGTTTGTTTTGCTGTAGAGCTGCATTGAATAATACAGAGAGGTGTTTTCTCGTCTCCAGCCCAACTGCATTAATATTAACAAGGTGGAAAAATATCATAGACACACCTGTACACCACAGGCTATAGACTTTGAGTGACAATGGTAAGATTAATAAATCTTGTCATAGAGTTATAAAGATGTACCAACAACAACATAAATCCACAATAGTCAATGAACGCCCCTGCAGTCAATGAAAACAGAAATAAAACACGAAGTCGCTATGCAATACGGTTGTTGTTGATGCTCTAGTCTGAGTAGCAAATTTGCCATCTGTAGGACACTTATTTGTTATTATAATTTGTATTCATGCAGGAGTTTTTACCCTGAATTACTATGAATGTCAGTGAAACACACACACACACACACACACACACATATATATATATATATATATATTAGGATATATTTTATATTGACCCATACCTTATATATATGGAAATAAACATGTGTTCCTTCTGAAGTATTATAAGTCAGTTTTATTTATATTTCCGTACTGGTGTTGTGTCCTTCTTCTTCATGCTTAATGAGAGAATATAACAGAGAGGTGGTGTGTCCTTCCCTGAGATTTTCAAATTGTCACCCATGAGCTGCTACCTCTCTATCTGAAAACCTTCATCATGAAATATCTTCACTGACGCATTTTTATTTAAGATTACCTGCAGTCCTTACTACACACTATACATTGCTCTCCCCTGTAAACCTCATATCTCCCAAAGTGTTGGTATTCTGTCCTCATGGCTAGTAATAAACTAGGCCAAACTCCTTTACCCCTTTTCTCTGCACTGTGGCAAAATCTTTCAATTCCTTTTCCTATTTACTCCCTGTCATTACACCACAGATACATATGAAGAAAAGAGGATTCAGCCTCAAGGCAACACGCACTGTCAAGACAAATGCTTCCTCATCTGAGCCGATATGAGATAAGTGGAACTATCCCAATGTGACCTGGACAATACTCGTACGGCTGGTGGTGATTAGCTAGACTGCACATAGCATAACGCGCTGCTCAGGAATGATATATGACAGACCTGGGTGTTTTCAATAACAGTTAGCGTGGGCTTGAGGGAAGCGGGATGGAGGGTAGAGGGGCTCATAAAGTGAGGATAGGTGTAATAAACTGTTATTGCACCCTTGAGGCAGGGTGCCGAGATCAGGCCAAAGGGTCATTGTGGTATGTGATGTCTAAAGAAATTTACTTGTTTTTTATACCTATTTGGTTCCCCAAGCATGCCTTCAGTAAGCCCGCTGACTTTCAAGAACTGCCTGGTGCGATGTGTTTATTTTCCTTGTATGATTTCTAATGAAACGCTGAAATCCTATAGCTCTGCATGAGACTGAGATGGTGCTGAGTGCCAAGTGAACCACAACAAAACCATCTGTGCTGTGTGGAGTGCATATAGAGAAAGTGTGAACTGTTGAGGGGTTTGCTGCAAAGTGATCCTACTGGTGATATGTCTGTCTATATGTGTGTGTGCATGAATGTGGGCTGGGTGTAAATAAGAGACCTCAGGATGTATTTTCTCCCCCTTGCTGCATTTGTCCCCATGCTCAATATGTTACATCTGAGCCTTTACATCACTGCAAAGGTTGAATAAAGCACAGTCCCTGCTCTTTATATTGACCTGGAGAACCCGTTATAAGACACTGAGATGTCAGCTATTTACCATAGTGCTTCGGATGCAGGAATAGCTCGCAAGAACAGATGAATCTTCATATTGTGTAAAAGTTATGGCTTTTCACAAGAGAATCCATCTTCTCTGCTTGACGGATTTCACTCGATTCCAAACTCATAGCAGAGAATGTCAATGAGATTCACCTCATATACATGTGTATATACAAAGGAATTGTATTTGACTGTCTGATTGAATTGATTACATTTGTTTGCGGGGAATTGTCTGAGAAGTGATGGATTAAGGCAATGGATCATAATAATTCAGGATTTTCCAATATGTGTAATTAATGAGAAGATTACGAGCCTATGGGTTGAAATTCATATGTGCTGTCATTTATATGGATGAAAAGGGAATTTACAGATGCTATTTTTTTCTGCAATGCTTTGAGGTGGATAGATGAGGACAAACCTGTCCATGTGTTCACCAGATGTGCCATGAAGGCCAACACGCCCACAATCACGGCACCTATATGTTCCCTCTCTTTCAATGGGTTTGTACTGACTGTACAGACAAGCTGCACAAAAACCGACAACAAATTTCATGCAATACATACAATGTATATAATCTTACTGTTTTACATATATTGGACTTACAAACCAATAATTTATCGATTTTTGTAGTATTGTAACTTAGTTTAATTTGGATTGCCATAGCTGTGTGCATATTTTTCATCCATCTCTCCTTCTCTCACAAACCAGTCAGAAACCTCCAGGAGAAAAGATTGTCGGTAGCTGTGTTTCAATGGTTTCCATGCAGCTCCAACAGACAACCACCAGACAAGACGACAATGGATCCATCACTGTCTCTGACAATTTCACGACAGTCACCCAAAAGGGGGTATGCAAACAGTGAGTCCTTTACATAAGAACAAAAAAATTAAACCAGAATGCCCCAGAGCTGCATTTTCATCAGTTTTACTTTATAATTATCCTCATCAGGATTACATAGCCACTGCATCGCTGTGGTGTGTGCTCCTTGCCCAATTCATTTCATACGTGGTGCACACAACAACTTCATCAATATTGCCTTGTGCGATTATTGAATGCTTATAAAGCTGGCAAGTCTCTCAGGTTTATAGGCTCCTGCCAAGGAAGCCAACAAAAGGTCATCCCAATAGCCAGTAACTGACTGAATCAAATAAAGTTGCAAATGTCACTTCCATAAGTAAACACTGTCAATAGCTTAGCCTGGCTTACGTGGCTTGAATAAACAGGAGGACATTGTTGGAATTAAGCAAAATGTTCTGTCAGGCACGCAGGAGTCGGAGTCGTCCTTTTACCCCCAATGTCCCCCAGATGAGCTCTGCTGGCTAAGTGTGAGTTACAAGCCACTGCTTCTGATGGTAATCATGGTCCCAGATTATTGTCCATCTGCTGAGCAGCTTAATAAGCATCAGAAACAATAACTAGATGAGTGTTCGTGATAGCTGCATGGTCCAGCAATGCTAACCTCTCACTACCCTCTGAGCTCTGGTCACCTACCAACAATGCTGCTGCTGTCTCCATATGGTCCGTCGTAAATTAGCATTTATGCCCTTGCCGGTGCACACATCCTCCAACACCTCATGGGAGTTTTCCACAGAGGATAGCCTGCAGCTGTCGTTGTACTTACAGGAGCTGATTACATGCATCAGATATATCATGCGTGTCACTAATACATCGTCCATGGGTAGGATCTGTATCGGTAATGTACAGCTAAGTTTCACGGCTCTCATTAACCCCTTTTCATGCAGGAGGCAGCTGTTTTCAGCAATCAAACCCGGATAAACAGAAAAACAGACTACCACAAACTGTATACACTGCCTGGCCAGCACTAAGGACAAACAAGGTATAGGTGCATAAAGAAATCTACTCAGATGTGAAAGTGATGGATGGTGGATAAAGGTGGTAAGGATATCATTAAGGTTTTTAACGGGGTAATTGCTGTTAATATTTTAATCAGCAAACAAGACTAGGTCACAAATTAGTACATTGTTGGACTGTGTATGATCAGTGTGGAAAAGTGAGGATGTAGTTAAAATTCCTGTGGAATAGCAGCACATTTTCAATGAAAAGTTAAATGCATAGTAATGATCATCAAGTCAGATTTACATTCTTCCCTGTGTCAACCAGTTTGATCTGTTTTCCTCTCTCCCCATTTCTCATGTACAGTATTTTGATAGAGCTGAATTCCCAATATAAATACAAGAGCATTATTAACCCATTTAAACTGTATGCTTAAATACCAGTGGGAAGTTTGAAAATCAGAATTTGCATTCTGCTACATCATTTTATTCACCTTTGTAGAATTTTACATATACATATATATCACATATATGATATGTTTCTTGTGATAGAATGGTGTTTGATACTGCAGCTGTGAATGAGATGAGATGATGTAATACCAATACCCAATAAGTGTGTGTGTTGTCTATGTTGAAATTAAAGTTCTAAAAAGTCTGCTGCAACCATTTGGATATGATTTCTTTATTTGAACACAACAAATTTTCTAATTCACTCGTCCTGGTTGTGTTCCAAACCTGCAGAACTGGTCAGTGGAAAAAGTATGAATGCTTCCCCCCTGGCTATTTACTATCTCTCACCACCTCAGTATCTCTGTAGGATTTAGACTTGTCTCCAGACAATAAAAATCCATCCGAGTCACAGGGGAGTGATTGGCTGACACTGACATATCTCATTACCCCAAATCCTCTGGCTGCCTCTTCTTGACTGAATGCGCTGCAGAGAGTGGATGTAGTGAAATGCCCTTTAGACCCCAGTAAAAGAGTTTTTTTGTGTTTGTTTGTATGTCGGCGCATGTGTGTGTGACCCTCACTTTTGGCTCACCCTTGTCACATACAAGCGATATTTGTAATTTTATT